AACATTTTCTTCTATAAAATTTCTTATTTCACCCCTTTTCCTGCTCTGTCATCTATGTTCATCCTCACTTTCTGCCCCCCCCCCCTTTTCCCCCTCCTCTATTCCCGACTCCTTCTTACTGCTGTCTTTTAGCCCCCCCCCCTGACTATAAGGTAGTAAGATCTAACACCTAGCCTTCTCGGATAAGGGCGAAAAAATCTAGGAGGTCCCATTTGCAAGTTGATCGCATAACTAAGATCCCTAACTTGTTGATAAGAGTAGGCTTCGGCTGCCACCTGAACGAAATTCAAAATTGATTCCTACCAAACTGAAAATGCTGTATGTGTTCAACGCACTCATATGTCCTTATGCAGTTGCGAGGGTCATACCAAAACTTAACCCCCCCCCCCCACAAAACAACTGCACTTCACCCACCGGTATAGCTTCTGTGAGTTTCTTTTGGCCAAAGAGAACCACTTAAGCAACAAGATGACCTCAGAGTTGTGAGGAAAAATAGACAGTCACGAGTGAGACAGGCACAGGAAGACAAGGAACCATCAGTCAGCCTCACACAAGGCGCAGAAATGACGTCATTCATGTTGTAACCCTGAACATCTTCTAGAGATAAAAACTGTAGACAAAACTGTGGCAACCGTACTTGGTAGTCATCCTCTCGATATAATGACACCACGACTCTGACTCAGAATGAAATCAATTTGATGGCCCTCCCAGGAAAAAATGATTATCGAACACAAACAGAAAATATGCGACAATAACTTCTATTATTGTACTTTCATTTTTACACTCCACAACACTGGCAAAATGAAGTTACCAGGGTAAGCACCGGGAGATATATCAGTACTGTGTGACCCCTGTCTCTTTCTGTAAAAACGAAATACAACAAATTGAAACATCCATACGAACGCTTGAGTTCAGTTCAATTTTCTCCGCAGTCAAATTCCTGCACCCAAAATGTAATTTTCTGTTCAATTATAACAGCATTCCAAAAACGATTTTTAAAATCAGAGATTTAGATTAGGTATAGTGAAGATAATAATATCATGATTCCATCATTATAATTTAAATTATAATTTACCGTTACCTGTTACGAGATGGCTGAGAATTAATTGCTCCAGAAAATTCAAACCTGCCCGCAGGGCAACAAAAACTGTGCTCCTAAAGTAAAAAAATCCACTAGACTTCAGAGAATCAATGTCATTTTCCAAGAATTTTGTTTTTTCAACGATCAAACACACAATTTTCGTTTATGACTGAGGAGACTAAAATAGTGTATTAGGTTTTGAATGAGAGAACATCATGAGTACGTGGTTTGTGATTGATCTCCGGTTACTGCTAATGACTGAGCAAACGCGATCAGAGCAGCCGATGAAAGGTTTCATTAATAAAAGTACTACATACCCCTCGTTTTGAGGATAGGAGTGGTTCTTCAATCACAGAGGTGAAGTGCGGTATACAAATATCAAAATGGCAAGCATACATTTCCTGTACGATCCTTCACTTCACCATATCCCTGCTCATGTTTTATAGATCTATGCATCTATGTATATATATATATATCAGTTGTTGTATTGCTGGGGCCGATGGGATTCAGAAGCTATTAGAAAGTGTTAATAAGAAATGTAAAGTAATCAAACTCATTTGGACATTTCATGATATTTAAGGCGAGAGTGTACGCTCGGTGATAGAATTGAAAAGTGGTTATAGTTTCAATGAATTTCTTTGCGATTATCGAAAATATAGTACGAGGGCAATTCTGAGAAAATGCCAGCCTGAAGGTCAAAACTGAAATACAACTAATTATCAACGAAATGACAATAGGAATGTAAATATACCATTTCAAACCAGAATCAACAAAAAGTAATTGATTTGAAAGATGTTTTTATTTTTTCACATTGCTTTCTATAGTACGAAGCTGTTTTTAACGGTCATTATAAAAACATAAATTTGAACATTTGCCCCTCACATTTTACATAAATAGGTTAAACTTCAGACTTCAGTAAGTATTTGGCTCAAGTGCATCAGCTCAAGTATTTTTCTTACATCTGTTTGAAGCAAAATAGGCTGGGAAATATTTTCTTAGATTTTCATCAACATTTCAGAACTTCCCGAAAGACGTCTGTCCATTATACAATTAAAAAAAAAGTTTTGTCACAAAGTTTATTTCTATTTTCCTTTCCGTTTCTGTGCATTCAAGATAAACCCTTCTTGAAGCCATTGTCAGTTTAACCCCACAATTTCCGATATGTTGAGAGATAAGTCAAATAAGTGTTACGCACTGACAATAAATCTGCGTGACTGACTGACATCTCCTCACTACGGGCCATCTCTAAGTTCAAATAAGAAACACTGGGGGGGGGGGGGGGGGGGGGGATCTCTCAGTTACTTTAGGATAATCACTACTTCCTTGATTAATTTAAGAAAGTGATTCTTCCCTAACACAATCATTTAGTTTTTTAAAAAGGCTTCTCTATTGTATTGTTGTGGTGTATGAACAACTGGGATCTGCTAAATACAATACAAGCTAGAAATCAGTAGCCAAAATTGAATAACCATAAAGCCTGCAAATGAAAGACAGAAACTGAGGAGAGGAAACCCGAAAGTGAAGGAAAGCATGAATAGTATTTGCTGAAAGACCGAAGGAAGGGGGTGAAAAGGAGGGGTGGGGTGAACAATATTCAGAAATATGTGCATTACGTAAAAGATTGGGGCTTTAAATAGACGGAGAGAGTAAGTAAAAAATTGTGGACCGTGAAACACATCCTGCAGCCACCCTCACACTCCATAACTGTTAGTCAAAATTCTGAATGAATCCATTTTCCCTTATTAGACAATAATCAAAGCTAGAAAGTAGTTACTCACAGCGCATCCAAAATAGAATGGGAAAAGAACACTATTGACAGAATCTTATGGGCACTCATGGATAACAAAAAAATCTTTGATAGACGACCCATGGTAAAAAAAGGTGGAATAAGTCTCTGTCTTATGCAGAGGAGACAAGTCATAGCCTGTTCAGTCGATAATGAGACAAGTTGGCAGGTACTTCGTAAAAAGAGCTCCATCATTGTGAAAAAACATGGACAGAAGAATATTGCTCAAAAGAAAGATATGTTTGCTACCACAATAGAAGGCCTTCAATACAGACATTAATATTTGATTTTTAGAAATTGTGAACTAAGACTCCCACATCTGTTGCTCCAGAAACAAAATCTCATCCAATTTGTTTGTTCAAATACCACGAACGACTGGAAGGTTCTCAGCTTTAGATATTAGGCTTTGGATTCAAAATCCCTACCAGGCACAAAGATCCCATTCTAAGCATTACGACCTCATACATTGCGTCAGTTGAGTACTATATTGTCTGAGCGACAGAGAAATGAGAATAATATGAAGCTTCTGTCAGTAAGAAGTCTATCCAGGTCAATAATATCACTGGTGATATAGATGAGGACGAGAAAGGTTTCACTTTTTCAAAGTCCAATAACTTTGAAGGGTACGAGCCCATTTTGGACTGATGAAAACAATGAAACAAGAACATTTTATAACAATATTAAAAGGTGATAAACGAAGTGTTAACGTGATCTTTTAATGGAGATTCTGAAATCTTTCCGGGCATAATTTGTGCTAATAAATTCCACTTTTACATTATGGATTTCAAGGAACCAATGTGATGCTCTGACTGTTTGCTAAAACAAAATTGATCGTTCATTTTTAAAATTGTAAATTTATATATTTTGACTCAAAATAATTATTCAGTTGATTTTTAATACATGTCTATCAACTTGTTATTTAAGTTGAAGCTTTCAAAAGCACTACATTGTTGATTTGGTAAAAGCATGCATTGTTTTCTGTCAGTCATGCAGTTAAAATTTCAGTCCGTCACACTCACAATAATATGTAAGATGACTCAGTTTGGATTTACTCAACCTTCATGTCTTTGGTAAGGATATTATGGCCCAATCATTCATATTCCTTTTAACAAAGAGCCCCCCCCCCTCCAACTTTCAGAGCAATTTGGGTTTATCACAAAGCCCCTGGAACACCAGGTTGACTCGTCCAAATTGCAATGATGGAAACTTTGTATACATCTGCTTAAAAACATAATAAGTCCTATGCTATAACAATGTTTATACTTAAGTTCTGAGTGGATTAAAATACCAATTGATTTGTCAGTTCGTCACATAATGGAACTGCTCAGGAGCCCTCAGTTAATTGAAAGACTTGGCTCTAACAGATTTTTTTCCACACCTACTTGGGGCATAAAGTCTCGTAGCATTGTCTTTAATACCCCTTCCCCCCCCCCCCCCCCAGGGAAGGTATACATAGTATCACATTGGCGGTAGCTAGTGGGAGTTCATGAGGATGTTAATATCGAACTCCTTGCTTTACGCGCCCTAGCCTTTACCACCGATTTACTCAGTGCTCATTGTCCACTTCCCCCTTGCCATTTACCCCCGAATCCACATCACATTTTATTGACATCACAACATCAACATTTCATTACCATTCATTCACATTACAACATTTTGTTTACATCACAACATCAACATTTCATTGACATTTATTTACATCACAACATTTCGTTGACAACACAGCATTTAATTGATATCAGTGAATATTATCACATTTCTTTTACGTCAGAACATTTCATCTGCATCGTATTTCACCCACTTTAAGCAAATAATTTACCTTCCTTCAGCAATCTCGAAAACTGCGTTATTTTATTATAACTGAACTAATAACAAACAAACATTGGTATATTTTTTCTACTAAACTTGATTCACTTTCCATTCTTATTTCTAACGCCATATTATTTTCATGCACTTTTTTCCTTCAATCCAGATGAAACACCACTAAGCCTTCTTTGGATAGAAATAAGCCAGCAAAAATATCACATTTCATCGTGTCGACTGTATAAGAAATACACAAACTATTTTCGTTTCCCATTGCCTTAACTTGTTTCCGAGCCAGGAGGAAAACATATTTCTTACTCTCCTCCGACGATGTCCGGCCTGAGTGTATCCACCATTGACAACGCGAGTATCTCTTCTCTTTCTCGAGGCGATGACCAGTCGGTAACAATGGAGACGGACTCTGCGCCACTCCCAGGTCTCATGAGTTACGAAGCTCGGAAGATCATTCTGGTGGTGAACCTCGCGGTAGTGGGCCAGATTGTCGGCGTCGTCGGCATCGCAGGAAATGTCATCAACATCGCGGTCTTCACCCGCCAAGGTTTCTCAGACAGCGTCAACATCAACTTCCTGGCGCTTGCCGTTGGCGACCTGTGCTCTCTGATAACACTTCAGTGGTTTAACATCTGCGTCAACCCGTGGTTCCAAAAACTTGACCTGCCTTTCAGTCCGTTGGAGATCCAGAGCTTAACAGCCGGCTACCCACATAACTGTTTCGTGCGTATTACTGGCTGGATCACGGCCTTTGTGGCGTTTGAGCGATGTCTATGTGTGGTGGTTCCCCTGAAAGTAAAGTCGATCATCACCGTTAGGGTTGCTGTTTTCTTCAACGTCAGTGTGTTTGGTCTGTCGTTTCTTAGTATGCTTCCCGTCTACACCACGGCTTACTACGACTGGAAATTTTACCCTCAGTATAACAGATCTCTTGTCGGCATTCTATATACAAGCAATAAAAACTCGGTTCTTGGCATTTCTCTGTTCATATCCGATTTTTTCGGACCTTTAACAGCTTTCGCCATTGTCATAGTTTGCACTGGTATCATAAGTATTCAATTACGTAAGAAAGCAAAATGGCGGAACGACATTTCCGGCAAAGCCATAGTTTCCGGCGAGATTCCAGGGAAGGAGAAACGAGTGATCGTCATGGTGACGACCATCTCCGTCATCTTTATCACATGCTTCACCCCAATGACACTGCTGATGACGGCCAGAGCGATGGTTCCAGGACTGAGCATCATTGGACGTTATGCCAACCTGAACTGGTCAGTGGTGTCCATCGGCTTCCTGCTGGAGACGGTCAACTCAAGCGTCAACGTCCTGGTGTACTACACAATGAGCTCCAAGTACAAAGAGACGGTCAACTCAATGTTGTCTTGTTGTCGGACTGGCAGAGGTCTAGAATAAATCGGAAATCAGAAAGGTAGCATGATCAAAGGTTGAATAAAGTAACAGCAAACTGATGCCCCGAGAAGTGACGGTCATAAACAAAATCTCACATGAACAGATTAACAATATGAAGAAAAAGAAAACGATGAGAGAGAAAGATACTTGTGCTTTCGTGTGAGAGAGGACAGACAGACACGCACGCACGCACGTGCGCGCGCACACACACACACACATGCGCGCGCGCACACACACAAACACACACACACACAAACACACACACACACACACACATACAAGAAAGAGAGGCAGATAGAAAGAGAGAAACAGATAGACTGATAGATAGATGGATAGATAGATAGATAGATAGATAGATAGATAGATAGATAGATAGATAGATAGATAGATAGATAGATAGATAGAGGGAGGGGGGAGGGAAAGAGAGAATAAGGGAAAACATTTAGCCATGCACGCTTTTGCACACTCTGGCTGAGTGGGATACAATTTCCCACCAGAAAGGCGGATATTGGGTCTTCGATTTACGTCCACGGAACATATCTTCGTTTTCAGCAAGACCGAGTTATCCTACCCAGTATATCTAATTTTCGACTTTTAAGATCCTACATAGCCCAGATCAAATGCATGGTTTAAAAATTTCGCCTCCTACTTGGTTTTATTTGTTTTCATGGGGCGTAAACGTTAACTTGGATCCTTTTTGACAAAGCATACAAAAGCGTCTCTGTAGAAAATGGCGTACGCGTCAAGCACGAACGACTGGCACTCATGTCTCGGAATGAATACGAGACCATTCGAACTTTGTGAATTTTTTAAAACACAATGTGCCCAATAAACCCGTTTTAGCAATTTGAAAAATAATGTCGGTTTGCTTTCCTTCTCTTATCAGCGTTTTCTATGTCTCCCCGTTTTCCCATCAGAGCAAGCGTCGCTACACAACAAGGTTAGCTGAAAAGTTTTAGAGTGGGAATGGAATTTGGCAAAAGTCACTGGACACGAACATAGAAATTATAAAATGATCTAAAACCATAATCTTCAACAGCATGAACCCTTCTCCTCCCTAAATTTCTCCAAAACTTCATCAGTATGGCAAGATTCCCTTCTGAAGTTATTCTCGTGGTTTTATCGTCCTCGTCCTGAGAACAGAAAAGAATGGCTTATCAAGCCCCTATAGCTGAACGCAACCCGCAACCCATGCAGTGCACTTTTAATGATTTAATGAAATGACCTTTCAATAGTGTAATCGGATTTGGGGGGGGGCTCTGCCTCAATAATACTGCTTTCAGAATTTGTGTCCAGAGAAAAGGAAAAGACTTTCACAGCAGAATCAAAATGTGTTCTCAAGCAAAGCATGGTCCTTCCAAGAAGGAATTTTGAACCATCTACGCATCTGCGAGTGTGCCACAATGTCTGTGTCCGTGAGTGTGTGCTTGATCTGACTGCCGTTCGGACGCAAATCCACGTCATTCTGGGGAATAAAGCGTACGTTTTCTATACACAATACACCTCTCCGCTCTTTTGATCTCCACCTTAGAAACTGCTCTGGGTTTTGTGGGATCGAGTCCTGCTGAGGCAATGCGATGTTCTATGCACTGCGTGCTCGTTTAAGCTGTGGTGAATAAGAAGGGCCACCCACGTATCTTTGAGTTTTTGTTTTTAACCAAATCATGCTCATTAAATTTGAAAGCAATGTATGGAATTTGCTTTGGTAAGTGTTTTACAACGCTCGCGACTGCAAAAGGTCATATGACACATTAAACCTTTTCAGTTTAGTAGGAATTAATTTTAAATTTTACCCGGGTGGCGCCGAAGCCTACTCTTATCGATTTTTGGACCACCAAATGAACTTTAACGTGCATAACTTGCACACGGAACCCCCGAGATTTTTCGACTTATCCGAGAAAGCTAGGTGTTAGATCTTACCTACCCTAAGATCAGGGGTGTGGATGAAAGACAGCTGTAAGAAGAAGTAGCCAAGGAGTAGCAGTAGAAAGGCTGCAGAAAGAATTAGGAGCCTAGAGGGGATAAAAGGGTGGGGCAAAAAGTGGAGATGAACGCAGACGACTGAACATGGTTAGAGAGAGAATAAAGGGGAAAGTTTTAGAAAAGAACATTTTTCATCGCTGTCAGGTTACGAACTCGGGACCTATTGTATGAGAGGCAAACAACGTAACCTCTTTACCACGAGAGCCCCCGAATATAGATTCGGATAGCGTCTTCTCAGCGTCTTGATTTTTATGACTCCAGATCTTGCTTTCTGAAACGAACTTGTATTCTAATAAACTTTTGTGGCAGCAACTTTGTCACTATCAGACCTCTCCGTGGGACCAGTTAGTGGGTATCAAAGTAAAGAAGAAATCATAGTAAATTAAGGATGATTTTCAACAAAGTCAGTGCAAATAAAAAGCAGATTAAGATCTTCATGTGAGTTGATAAAAATATTGATGCAAATAAACATGGCTTTATTCCGTTTCAAAATAATCTTTAGGGAGTGCTTTCAAAGCATGACATGTTCAGTGCGCGCGCAGAAATCATATTATGCTCCTGTGTTCTTGACCATACATACAAAACATACTGTTTGAAGAGTAGAACGTGGATGTTGAAAGCGAGAGTTAGTCCGTCAAGCTCCACTTGTAGCCTCTCGTCTTCCCTCCCTTATTTCAGGTGGCGCCTTCGGGATGAGTCGTTCACACCATTCCTTAGGTACACTTTCAAAGCATAATAATATCAAAAGTACAGACACTAAAAAATGTCATGGTACCGTACAATATTAGGCATATCAAACAACAAAAACATGATAATAATAATAATAATAATAATAATAATAATAATAATAATAATAATAATAATAAAAAACAAAACAAACAAACAGCATTTGTATAGCGCATATTCCCGCTCAACTGCAGGCTCTATGCGCTTTACACTATATTATTACCCCAGTAGACCACAGAACACTCTCAGCTTCCCAGGAAGCATACAGTGCAAGCAGCTGATTAAGCGCTCAAACACTAACAAACTGATAAGATCGTTCGCTGTCTATAGCCGGGTACCCATTCCCACCTGGGTGAAGTGAGGAAAATTCGTATAAAGTGCCTTTCCCAAGGACACAACGTCGGGCTCCTGACTGGATTCGAACCCACGACCTTACGGTTGCGAGTCCGAGAGACTGACCACTAGGCCACCGACGCCACATCAATAACCCCCCCCC